GGGTAGGGTGGAGCTTTGTCTGTGATCGTATCTGCTAGGCCACGCTTTCAACGCTAAAATAATGTACCTTTGTTACTTTAGTCTGGGGTAGGGTATGTAAAATCACAATAATTGGTCTGTGATAGGGTAAGGGTTTTGAGGGTCGTGCGGCACATCCCCACCCAAGTCATGGGTATGGAGCAGCGCCCCCAGGGTACGTCTACACGAATCATAGCCAAAAACCGCACAGTTGCGGCCTGGCATCGTATATAATAAATCTAACTAATTAAAACTAATAAAAACACTATATGAGAAAAATCTATAAGTAAAATATCGCTTGTTGTAACTAATCTTTGCTATACGGTCTCAGCTGAGTTGTGCACTCATCATGATCACGTGTTCGAGTCAAAACCACAACAAAAAGGTCGCTCTTTGATGTTCTCTATTAACTATGAGCAGATGGAGTGCCAGCTGTAATCGTCTATTCTCGACTTTCACATGACGTCGTCAGTCGAAAAAAATTCTTAAATCACAGATACACAACAACGTAGTACTGAAATATCTTGAGAAGCATGATAGAAGTTCAATCTCAGTATCAAATTAAATGTTTACCATCATATTGTTGTTAATGTAAGGTTAATTCATTGGTTTTGAGCTCAAGTTACGGTCCGCCATGTTTGTGCTCCAGATTAGGACACTGTCATGGCTGCCCCATACAGTTCTTTGTAAAGTAAGGCCTTATTCAAACGCTTATATTTTTCCTACAAAATCACAGTTTAGATTCAAACTTTGCATAACTGTTAGTGTCATATGCTTTTTTTGTCCTTGTACTCAAAAAAATCATTAGGATCTTAAAACAAAGCTTTTTGTAGGTATATTTCTTGACCAGTCGAAAACACTTTGCGCTGTGATATAATCCCATACATTCTTGCCAATTTTCGATACAGTAAAAACCCGCGTATAAGAACAAGCGGATTAAGAACACCCAGGCCTGATTTTAGGAATTAAAGTACCATTTATATAAGAACACATTSAGCCTGAAAAATGAAAGTTGTTCGTATATGCAATTAAAATATCAGAAAATCAACACTACTTTTCATTGCACACGTAATAGTTTYATCCAATTAAATGTAACAAAATATTAAACAAAATAGAAATATGTACTGTTACATTGATTTCATCTATTGGTAGCCAAGTATGTTCCTT